TTAATAAAGTATACACTTCCGAAATTATCCGAATAGAAATGGTTATACACTCTTTTATAAATATTTTAATGCGTCCAAATACTTCTATCACCTACCCAAAACCGTAACTTGAAATAATAAGTAAAATAGTAGTTTATACTTTATTCTAACATTCCTAAAAAATCAGAAGGCATATGATTTTTATTTTTCTCTTTAAAATATTATTGTTATTGCTTATATACTGAACCTATAGTGGTTAAACTGAATTCTTAATAATACCATGTATACACTATTCACTATATAAATGTAAAATATACATTAAAAATATAAAATGTAATAATAATTTAATTGTTACTAATCATTTTCAGACTCTTGTTTTGAAATCTTAAAGTTTCGTTAAAAATAATATAACAGAAAATACAAAATTGTTTGTACTTCTTTCTATTCTGGACATTTTGTATTTTTTAATAATATATCTAGTTTTTTAATTAATCTTAAATAGTCCTTTTTATAAAAAAAAACAAAAATAATTAAAACTATTTTTAGGGGTTCTGTTCTCTGTATTCAAAACTAGTTAAAATAGTATTTTAAAAATTTTCAACAAAAGTTCGGAAGAACTTTAAACTGAATGAAGTAAAAATAAAGTTATTTTAGTTATTTTTAAAAACACTTTGATCATCGTAACTACGCTTAAAATGTCCGAATAATTCTGCGCTTTGGGGGGCAATTAATATATTTTTTAATACTTTCTTTATAATGGAAAAAATATGGCTCAGAAAAAGTTTATTGTTTCTTTCTTTTTCCGTTAAATCTTGCATCTGAGTAAAATCGCTGTTGTTTTGCTTCTTATTCGTTTACTCATTTGGATTAAAATGTGCGTTCAATTGTTAAATACCCTTATCGGAATAAATGTCTTGTGCCTCTTATTTGATCAATGAATGTAAAGGTTTAGGTAGTGCAATTACAACGAGTTTTAAGAGAAATCGTTTTTGTACAGCTGGTGATTTTAGCATACTTAAAAAATAATTAAAATCCATTATAGATTTGATAAAAGTACATAAAAGCTAATGGAAAAGGGAAATATTAATATTTTAAAGCGTTCTATCATACTGCGGTAAAATCATTTTGATGTTGATGTTCATTTCCGTTTGGATATGTTGGTGTCATACTAATTAAATAGCGCATGTGTACTAATAAAGCGGTATGCGATTGATACGCATTACTACAGGTTTACAGTATCAGTGGCATACAGCCATTCAAATTGTGCAAAAGACACTTATTTCTTACAGTAACCGGTCTCCTCTGAGATAGATTTTGAATGGTTCGAGCAATTCCCACGCCGCTTATTTGCAATATATGTTTAACGGACATACTGCGCTTGGAGGTCTCTTGGTCTATATATATATATATATATATATATATATATAGTTTCTACCGACACACGTGATTCCAATAATGATTCGTTGAATAACCGAAAGTCCACCGCAGTAAACTGACAGTTAATATCCATACCTATCCCGCGCTGTCCCGACAAACCCCCCCAATAAATAGTTGATACGTGGTACTATTATTTACCCAATTCTAGTATCGGTCAAACCCTATAGGTATAAACGTCTCACGGACAATATGATTTACTCCATAGCAGTATATTATGCTTTCCGACGACACGTTGTGATATATACACATACAACAATATCACACTCAACCTGGACGCCATGTCCAAGATATATGATTACTCATACTTACATGGGAACAACAACGGACTTCTTGAATAAACAAATAGTGGAGGATGACGTTAAAAATCTTGGTTGGCCTTGGAAGTAAATTATTAACGTAGGTACTATTTGTAAATCCAGGGCGTTATTTTAATTTTAAATTAGATCCTAATAAATATGCAATGCGGACTCCCATTGCACGCATGCTCCACTCTTCGGGCGACCTACCGGATTACGTTTTTTGTTTTATTCCGCCAAAATAACACTATTTTATGTATAGCAAGAAAGTACGTTGTCCAATATACATATTATGTCTTGATGAGCCGTGTATTCTAAAATAGTATCATCCAGGCCACCGCTACAGGTAGAAAATTTAAACTTGTCCCATAAGAGGAATGTGCTTCTTGTTGCGTGTGAAAACGTGTCTGCAGAGATAAGGTTTTCTGAAAAACTGAGATGCTAGTTACTTTTGTCGTAAGAGTTGGATACAAATGAGCGGTGCGAGGCAATATATTTATCGAAAAATAATTTTAATATTTTTCGGCCGTGTAAAATTTGTTTTATGTTAATTTGTATATTAGCTTTAGATAAATAAAACGTATTTGAGTTATGATCATTATTTGGTGATACAAAATTAATTGACGCGACGGCAAAGTGATGACACGTCGAAGAGTGATCGGATTTCAATAATGTTTTTTTTTATTCGAAAAAGAAAATTTTGCTACAGTCATCGTGAAATTCCGATTTTGTATTCAATTACACAAAATGAACAACAATTTTAAGTTAAAAACATAAAAAAACATTGGTAAATCCAAACATTTATTACGGCGCATAGTAATTTAATTTTGAAATCTATACGACTATTAGAAGCCTTTTTTTTTTAAATAAAAAAATGGAAGATCTGACTCGAGTTTGTTTTAGGCTACAGACGAAAGATAAAATAAAAAAGGTTCTAACCAGATCATGTGTTATTTTTTGAACGGTGACCCCGATTTGCCTGAGCATTTAATAGCATGCCAATTTATATAATACCTCGGGGTTTCACCGTCTAGGCGTGTCTGCGTTTGATGGTAAGGACAGTAGTAGAAACTTCCGAAGTTCGACAAGAAACGGAGCAACTGCTAAAACGCGTAGTGGTGTGGTTAGAGCAATGGGCCGATCAATAGCTATACCGAAATCACAATGCATTTTGGCTACTGTATGACGTTTAAAGGTACATATTATACAAGAAACAAAATTGGAAAAACTGTAGGTACAACACCCCTTATCTCAGGCTCTATCCCAGTACACGTTTTAGTATGGATATTTTTTTGTTTTTGTCTTCTCTTCTTGAAACATTTTTATTGTACCCGCTTTCAAAATAAACGATTTTTCGTTATCTTATTGGTAGATATTTAAATCAAGAATTTAGTTAAGTGTTATTTTGTTAAATGTTTGTTTATTATAATAAGCCGTTTAAGGATCTCTGATCTTCTTTTTGGATTGATCCGGTATACAGTGGTAGTTATAAACAATCCACTTATAAGTATCATATCTTATATAATAAAAAATTTATGAAATTCAATATAGGTATAGTATACCTATATTGAGTATACCTGATGTACTCCTTGACAAAATAGTTAAGTGAAAATTATTTTCGAATTCGATTAAGAAAGTTGCGGGATAATTAATAAACGCCAAGTAGTTTTTATCAATAATAACTTAAATAAGAGGATTACAGAGGTATTTATAAAGTTTATTTAGAAAGAGAGATATGATATAGTTTCGCTCGACATGTGGTTAAAGAAGGAAAGAAATGGTGAGCAATTTAAGAGAGGTTTATATTATATCCGGAGTGGAAATGAGGTTGCTTATAAGCAGACTTATATACAGGCTAATGCTAAACTGAGTTCATAAAACCACAGTGGCAATTAAGGGGAGCATAATACATTTTTTTAATGGTGTTCGCGCTTTGGATACGCAGGTGAACAATTCCATTTATAGTATTATTACTAGTCTATAAATTCATAATTGTAACGCACAGTAAAGTATAATACCATTGTATTCTACGTTATAAAATACTATAAAGAAGAACATTTTTTTTTCAAAAAAACAAATAGTATCTATGTTAGAGACATTTATTTTTATTTTTAACTGCTATTTCAATTTTTTCGAGTTTTATGGATTTTTTACGGTTAAAAGCGAGTTTAGAGTCTTATAATTAAGCAGCCGACAATATAGCACTATTTTTTTAATCCTCCTAAAATAGTACATTCAGAGGTTTCACTTCTATAAGTTTGGATTGACCAACAGAAAAGTTGTAGTGAAAAGTCCAGTTTTTTTTTTGGAAAATTACTTTCTAACTCAACTTTAGAGGCCTAGGGGCACAGGTTAAAATTTACGGAATGGTCTCAAATTTTGCATAACTTATTTTTAGGAACATTAAAACCGAAAAAAAAATCAATTTTTAAGGGCCACCCTAGTGTTCATGTATAATAAATGAATTTGAGACTCATCATACGATATGATATGATATTATGTTTTATGAGTTGTGATTGCTCAAGGTATATTTACTAATAGGGTTTAGGAATAGCATAATTACACGATTTGGTGACTTCAAAGCATGTGGTTATTGGTTAAAAAAATAAAATAATACATTTTCAAATTAGAGACTACCTTTTTTTTGCGTGCGACGGGGCGGGGGAGGGGGTGAAATAATATCTACCTGCAAAATAATTGTGGCTCGTCGAGTACATTGTTGCAATAGGAATTTGGGAGTTGTACGATGAAACAGTTAAAAGGGTAGACTTAACACCCACGAAGACCTGTAATCTCTGTATGAACTCAATAGACAGTCGCTGATGTCATCTCGGAGAAGGACGACGATTGCTAAAACTGTTTATTCACTAACGATCTCGTTTACCGTGCGATTTCGCTTGGTTACAATGGCCGTTTTGTGTCTCGATAATGTTATTATAGTATGTAAGGAGATTTTTAATAAAGGTTTTTTTTTTCTATCAAAGCCAGAACCAAATCCTTTGATCTTGTTCGACGAATACCGTTTACGGCCAAAGTCTAAAGGCACCGGAGTGTGGACATAGTCATTGTCAAAGTCGGGATTTATACCGTAATAATATATTATATTTTAATAGATTTATATATAACATTATATAGGGTGGCGGTGACCGCGTCGACAACAATGTGCATCCAGAGAGGGTTGGCGGCGACCGTGTACATATCGTACATACTATAGTGCGTGCGTACTAAGCGCGTTCTTTTGGTCGACCACCGCCAAAGTCCACGCCGTTCAGTTGCACAACTGTTGCTCAACCGAACACGCCGTTCACGACCGCCGGACACTCTCTTGTAAATATTTGTACCAAGTATGCCGTTTGCTTGATTTTATTTTTCGGTTTGTTTGTTTTTTGTTTTTCTTCGGTTTCGTTATAAATCGTTAATATCGATCGCGTGTGTTGGTGTGTCCCGTTTGGTTGTGCCGCTTGTAAATCTTGTGAGCGTTTGGTGTTTTGTTGTTGTTGTTGTATAAATATCAATTTTTAAAATATAAATCGAATGATATAAAAAAAAAAAAACGGAAATATTAGTTGGAATTTTTCGACGTTGACACGATGATACCGTCGTCGACAGGAATGTCAGCGGTTATTACGATACCGTTTGGACCAATGCGAAAAACCCGTTGAATCTCGGTAATAATTTTCATAGATAATAAAGCGGATGGATGGGTCATGGTATCGTGCGAATCTGCCCTCGAAAAGAATACAACTTACCCTTAGCCGACATGACATTCATGAAAATCGTCCGAATTTGAGTAATAATAAATCTTATCATTTACCGTTTTAAATTAACGCCGAATGTTGTCGCGTTAATTTAATTCACGCATTATCACTCATTAAGATTTCGGTTTCTGTGTATTTTTTTCGCGCTTCATGTATAACGTGTGTAGCTGTTGTAAAACGCTTGTGATAATGACCCATCCAGATCTTAATGTTATCTGTGATAAGCTTGATTACGCTCAACGGATTATATAATATGACCTCATGCGACGCTCTGTGTTTTTCCCCCAAAAAACCATTTCGGTAAACGTTGTATATTTTATAATATATCTTAAATGTGTTTTTTCGCTTCTTTTCTTAGTCAAATTTAAAACCAAGCCTACTTGTCTATTGATTTTGACATTAAACGTCAAGCGATTTCAAACATAAAGGCAACGCTTTTGGCAGCGTTCCAACGTTGTATCGTTTTCATAGCAGCGTCTTTTATCAAGCCAAACATGTTGTAGATACGAGTAGCTCCTTGATTATATTAGTCGACATTAGGTTGAACCTAGTGAAGAATCCACTAAATTGAGAACCTAATGGACCCTCAATTTAGTTGCCCCTCCAAACGCACGGTTTATAATCTTATAATATTCCAGTTAGAATTAATAAAATAACCAGCTAAATGCTAAATAAATTAGCCGGCTTTACAAATATGTTATACGTCATAGAGAATATACTTAATGTGCGTGTCATTGGATTATTGAAGTGTTAAAATATTATCTGCTTTCTTGCTATATTATCAGTTGTCTGTCGTAGAATACTCATGACATAATAATGTACAGCCTTTCATTTTCCATCTCAATAATATGGGTTTGTCTACAAATGGCTATTAAGTCGAACACATTCAATTGTAACCAAACTAAACTATAGGTAACTAAAATTATTACTCATTGGTTAATAAACAAAAAAAAAGGTAATAGTAAATTATTTCTAAAAAAATATTTGTCTAAAATAACATTTGAACTATAAACAAAATATGTATAGCTATAGTTTGAAATAACGTAGTTTGAGTATAAAACATATTTGTAATTAATATAAAAACTTCTATAAGATGATATTAGTTTTAATATCACGATTGCGGTGTTTTTATTTTTATACAAGCATTTTTTAAAGTTAATTAAAAGAAATTTTGTGTAATTTTTAAGAATATCCCATTATAATGAATTGTATGCCATTTATTATATTCAATCTTAAAAGTACGTTTTTCACGATTAAAAAACAAATTATTTGTCGGAAATTATAAAATCATATCCCGGTTGTATACTATTGTAAATCTTAATAAGTTTTCGTAATTAAATTTTGATAATTAATATTGTTATAATCTAAATTACTGAAAAAGTAATTTCGAACAACATAATAGTTGACAATATTGTGCTTGCAATATTTGTCCATAGTAGATTGTTTTCCCCTATAATACACCTTAAAATGTGGGCGTTGATCAAGTTTTAAAAATACAGAAATATCTTAGTCTACGTATCAGTAGTACAGTATACAGTATACAGTAGTTCAGTATACAGTAGTCTACTGTATTTAAATCAGTGCATGAAATATATAAAAAAATATCTTGCTTGTCTATAAAAAAAAAAATGCTGTTAGGTGACTGCTTGTCAGATAAACGCGTTAATGATTTTAAGCTAAGTCAACACAATAATACACAGTTTATCTGAATCAATAGAAGTAATCGGAGGTTGAACACACGATGTTTGACTATACTCTTTTTTAGAAGTTAAACTTCTAAGTAGAGATTGCCACTATTTATTCATTCCATCAAACTCAGTATATTTATATGTATAATTGTTCATCTTTAACGAGTGCTTCACTATCATAATAAATAATATTTTGTTTAACATTATGGGGTTAACATAAATCAATAACTGACCCAGCCTTGCAATAGTTATACAATAGTGAAAATTGTCCGGTAAATACGAATGCAAATCGATTTTATACATTCTTTATATTATTATATGCCATCGCGTGCCACGGAAATGGAGCAACGGCGGTGGATGCAATTTTGATGACTATACTTGGCTTTGGCCGCGTACATTCGAATTAATTATTAATAATTACCCATGCCATTAGGGTACGCCACCTATATTCAATGCCAACTGCTCAGCTCTACCGTCCTTTCCGGCGGGAATGACAGAACGTTTATTTATGATGATGCGCGAGACTAATGTGGTCAGGTCATAATTATCTTGGAATATACCGAGGCCCAGTGGGTTCAGCAGAGACGTTTGCACGGTAGGGTGGATACATTCATGCGAAATTCCCACTGTACAACAATATTGTTCACTAGCCTCCGCCACAACCTCTTTCCGTTTTGAATTATTCAATTTTGTGCAAATTCAGATTACCGCCGTTTTGTTCACGTCTTTTGACACTCGGCTAATTTTGTGTGCTTAAAAGTTACAGTCGAAAGTTCCGTCCTTAGAGGTTCTAAAATACTGTACGTATTTGCATTTTGTCTTTTTTTTAATCGCCTTTCTCGCAGATTTAACGCTAATGATGTTTGCTCGCGTTCGGTCTCCACGAAAACTTTCTTCTTTTCCACGCCTATCTCGCTCCGGATCTTGATCGAGTATCTACACTTGCCTGTGATGCGGTCCATCCGTAGACAGAAATTCATTGTGAAGAACTAAAATACAAGCATTAGTATTGTATATTTTTGCACGGAATACTCTAAAATTTTCTAGCGTAGCAACTTAAAACTTATTTTCAATAAAACAATTCAGTTTCTTGTAATTGAATAAATTTAATTAAAACATGTTTCATCATTAAAAACAATTTTTTTACATAAAAAAATTAAATATCCGATTCCGACATAACTTTGTAAAGTAACCAAAGAAATCATATCTTTTTACAGAATTGAAATCGGACTATCCTAAGTACTTGAAATATTGACAGGCTTTTTGGTCTAAAACGTCAAAAAAAAAACAGACCACTTTCACCGACCATTAATAATAGAAAATGTAATTGGTTGAAAAATATTTCCGGTACGATAAGATAATGGTTTGTCATTAAATTTTTTAAGTCGAGGGGAAAATCCAATTTGATAGTATTTCCAAGAGCTCCGCTGAGTTTAAAATTCCCTTGTGGTAACACTCAAATAATTTCTCTAATTAAACTCATTAAATAATATATATGTGTGTGTGCGTGAGTGTATGCATGTGTATGAAGACGCAAAGAGGCGCGTTGATGATAACGTCTTATAGTATATATTCATCATAACGTTTTTATTTTGCGTTTTTGGATTATTATTATATTTAGGGTTTACCCGACTGCTTCCGCAAAGGAGGGTTTTTTACTTAAATGATTACTAGTCTATGTGTGCATTTCGTAAGTATGTATGTATGTATGTATTTTTTTTTTTAATAATTAATTGTTCAAAGTAATAAAAAAATGAATGTAATTATTTATTGTCACCATAAATGATTGTGGTTTGTTATGTAAATGTATAGCATGGCGTTGTAGTATTATTAGTATATAGGAGGATATTGTACAATATAAATTTGACTGTAATAAAATTATATGAATCACGTCAAGTTTACGATCGTTAAACGTTACACATTTTAATGCATAAAAAGATATCAAAACCAAAAATCTGCATTTTTTTATTTTATTGCTTTCAACACTTTGAACGCGTAATAAGTTATTTTATTAGGTGTTGTATACGTTTCATTTGCTAAAACTAACGTGCACTTTAACGACCCCATTTAATATTATCATGTTGAGTTGTATATTTTATAATTAAAATCGTATCTAAATCCTAGTACGGTCAGTACTTTTTACTAGATTATCGTGCCAGACTGATTTATTCCCGTAAAGTTATAGCGTATTTTTTTAAATTTTGATATTAAACAAAAAAATACGATTTTTTTCTTGTATAATTTTCAATAGAATGAAATATATGTTGAGACACGTGCACCGTTCAACCGAAATAACATAATTGGCTAGGCGCAAATCATTCTAGAAAATGTGTTATGACCCCCGAATGCTGGAATACCCTAATAGTTCCTTTAGTTGTTCTATTATTTATGTTTTCACAGTGTTACATAAATGGACCCTGTCTAATGATGAGGTTTGTTTCACTTGATGATCTAATATATACCCAAAACACAAATGCGGTATGTTCTTATCGGAATTTACTTTTTTTCTACTTTTTTTAAAAATATTTATTTTTGATTAAGCATAATATCATATAATTGGCTTATACTATAAAATCGTGGAACTAATAAATATTTGTTTCTATTTCATCTATTAATTTGTTATTATTGAACAACATGTCAAGCCGTTTGGAAGATTTTAATAACGAATTTAATTGATTTTCTGAATCTACGAAGTTGATACGAAGAGATGAATTACACATATATGTTTAAGCAATTACGATTATACAAAGAATCTATTATCTGTTTGTACAGCTATCAACGTTCAAAATGCACCTGTCTTGAACAGTATATCAAGAAATAGACGACAATGCCTTATTTTCTATGACCGGATAATTACATGTCAAAGTAATTCTACATAAAGCTAAACGTCGATAATACCTCATTAATATTTCATTCTCATACGTCAATACCTTATAAAATAACTTGACAATCATAATAATATAACATATTAGCTGCTTAAATAAAAATAACATACAGGTAGAAATAATTCAGATAAACATGATAATAAAACTGCACATATAAAATATAGTAATTTTTAAGTTCACCCTATATATTAATATTAGGATATAGAAAAAAATAAATGAATTGAACTTGAAGAGAAACTAAGTTAATAATTATACAAACATGAGAAATAAAATATAGGTTTTTTTAATCGTACATTTTACTGACAGTGTGTAAAAAAATGTGTTCTGTAGGCCGTATATTCGGATTATAAATACGAGTGACACCTAATGGATGGTATGTACAAACACAACTAAATTGATTTTATTTAGATAAGTTGATATTATGATACCTACTATTTGTAAAATTTCCACATAATTTTAAATAGGGTACGTTAAATGTGAATGGTTGATAAGTAACAGTATAATTAATGTCAATTGGTAATGAATTCAATTTATAAATACAGAGTGATCCATTTAACGTAAAACATTAATTTACTCTGAAAATAATTACAATTTTGAAGTTTTTCTTTTTGGGAATATTTTAATTTATATTATGTTACCGTTAAGCAATTAATTTTTTAGCTTTAACCACAAAGTTACAGTTATTTAAGACATGTTGAGTGTCTTGTGTTAAGTGGATCACCTTGAGTATGCTTTTCGATTCTTATAACGTATAATATCATAATATGGAGTAATGTAATATTTATTACTTTAAAATATTCAAAAACTAAATCGATTGACCAAAACAAAATTTACACATAATAAAAATGTTAAATAAATAATGTAATTTATGTAATACTTAAAAGTAATTTAACAAAAGCTTAATACAGGACTTCTAATTTAGTAACACATTATCAGTCATTAAAAAATATTATTTACTTATTATTTATTTATTATTATTTAGTTTTATTTTTTGTGCATCATAAATTCGAAACTATTTATTATCTTAAAATATACATAATAACAGATAAGTATATTTATATCGATGTTAAAATAGTTTGCTTTTAAAATGCAATATTTAATTTCTTTTAGTTTATATATATATATATACAATATATTTAATACTTACAAAGTAAGGCAAAAATATAGGTCAATATTAGTGACATACTAAGTTAATAGTATATGTATATAAACACGGAAAGAAGTCGATATTTCGCCGCGAGGCAAAGCACTTAGAAGAGTCTGAGTTACACTATAGTTCTAAGACTTTTATAAATATATATATATATATATATATATTAAAGAATTCTATAGTATTACTTCATTTTATAAGTATACATTAAAAAGTAAGGTTCGACATTGTTCCTTGTGTTACTATAACACGGCGTTTTGTTTAGGCTTTTTATATAGCATTTATGCATGCAACCATAAAATATACGTCCGACGCAGTCCAGCGATATGTCTCAAAATAATAGAATCTTGTATTCGGCGAATCATAAGTCAACCGATGCAACATAATTCTTAGTAAATTAGTGCCTAACTTTTAATAGTTATAGTTTTTCAAATAAACGTCTTCTAAATGATTTTTTACGTCTTAATTTAATCTTTTGAAAACATAACTTTGACGGAGTAACGTTCTTGATCCAACGGAGCGTCGCATGAGGTGTCGTCATATAAATCGTTTATACCGAAAACAGGTTGTCGAATTTTCCGCTAAAAAATAAAAGATGCGAAATTGGTATTATGTATGTATAGTGACACCAGTGCTTTTGGCAATAGCACAAGCCGAGAAGTGACAATCTCTACGACAAAGATGGACCCGTGGGATGTAACGACTTGTCCTATGCCTCACGCCAGTACGTACGGCGTGACTGTCAGCTGCACCTGTGATAGAGTGGAAAACGCAAAATCTTGAGTCGACAGCTGTGGTAACAGCGAGCGGGGCGCGGGTGGCCATGAGCACGTTGACGTCCGCCGGATGTTGGCGTGTCCGTTTTGCGTCGACATGAATCGCGCCGAAGAAGTGCAGCTGTTCCGCAAGTCCAGAGAAGTGTCTTTGAGGAGCAACGGCGGAGGAAGCAACAGAGCGAGCGGCAGCGGCGGAGTCGGGTCCAATCCCAGCGATGAGTTCGTCTTAAACGTGTTCAAGTCGAATTCCGTAGACGGACCGGTGGCGTTGGACACGGCCGGCGATGGCGGTAAGCAAACGCCGCTCGCCCGGCCGCATCATAGGCGGATGCCCAGGTTCGGCGAGGCGCACCACAGGAGAGTGCCTACCCCGATGAAGAAGCGCCGGAAGCCGGATTTCGCGGACCCCCCGACCCCTAGCAGCGACGCCGACGACCCGGCAATAGTCGAGGTGGTGACCGCGGGCGACGCTAAACCGGCGGCTCCTCCGGGCGTGCCTGACCCGTATTATCCCATTTACCTGCCAATCGATCAGGCGTTCAAGGCCAAGTACGTATTCCACCAGAGAAAGGGCAAAACATTCCAGGAGAGGGTCTACGTATTCCTGGAACACCCGTGCGGATGGATATGCTTCATTTACCACTTCGCTGTGTAAGTACTCGTGTATTAGTTAAATATCCAATGCTAAAGATAATGCTAAAAAACAAAATGATTGACGTGATTATTCTAAACTTTGAAATTTCGTCATTTGTTTCTCTAAATGTTATATAAACCTTTATACCTTGATTGTAGTTTCAAACATCAAGTCAAAAACAATCGTGTTGGAAGCGCTTAATATTTAGCTTATGGATGAGCTTAGAAAGTTTTATATAGGTTTTGCACACTAAATTATAATAAAATTTGGTTATAATAAAAAGTTTAAGTTAGAATAAAAACAGGACAAAATAAAATATCATAATAGTTGTTTAAAAATTAATCATTTTAAATCACCTAGCTGTTACTAATAAAAAAAGTATTTGTTAACCCTTCTAAGTAATAATTAGAAAAAATGTATTATCTTCATTATGTTTCTATAAAAATTGCGCATTTTCTCTACTTATAAAGTAGCTTTAAAAATACAGGTTTAAAGTTTATTTTTCAATTTAAAAGTATATTACCCCATTTGTTTTTGTAACAATAGAAATAACTGATGAGCTTTTTTAAATAACACGTTGCGTTTTATGTTTGACAACTATACGACTTATGCACTGTTATTTATAGTAAGTTGTTATTGTACAATGAATTATTCATAAGAAAAGTCGATTTTAAAATTACAATAATGTAGTATACCGTGTAACTAGTTATTATATTTGTAACGAAGAATAAAAGTACCAAATAATGGTAAAAAACAAGGAACCGCAGATAGCGAAACACTGATAATACCTAAAAATAATAATAGTGCCTAATAGTACTAAATAACTTTAAAGCCCCTACTTAAAGCGATAACATCTCGATTAGCTGCTTATTACAGTTATTTTATGTTTTTCACTTTCATTTTTATTGACTGCACAAGAAAATAGGTAATTGTTGAGGGATAATATGTTTCTTTTTTGTATTTTTCGATTACAATTTGGATACGTTTCAAGATTTAGATACATTTCAACAAAATAATTAGACAAAAAGCATTCAAGGATTAATCCTGATAAATATAACAATAAAACAGTACAACAGAACACAAAGACAACATGTGTAACAGTTATGTATGAACCTTCAAACATGACATTACTAAAAGAGAACGAGAACCGGAAATAGAGGGATTTCGAGATTTGTCCTTTTAAATGAAACAGTTTCTCTCATAAGAAATTAATGATTTATGATTCTTTTGTATTTGTGATTCATGCTACTGAAAACATCAATGTTTTTATCAGTCTGATTTACAAAGTGCGAGTGTTTTTCGTTTAAAACAAATAAAATGTAAAAAATTGTATTGGTAGTATATATTTTATTTGATCTAAATACGCATAGTTTCATCATATTAAAAAAAAATCACTTCCTATAATAAACTAAAATAATAAAACACTGTTGAAACTAATTTGTACAATTTACATGCTACAAAAGTATAAAACGACGTTTATTTTATGTGAACTTAGGCATTATTTAAATATTTTTTTGTTTGAATAAAAATTCAAAGAACTATTAAAAATGCAATTTATTTAAATTAAAACTTTAATAATTAACATTTTCAACAAAGATCCAGATAAAAATGTCAAGTACATTTTTAGTTGAACAATATTAAGTTAAAAATCTCAATAGCAAATACCAAAGTAAGAACATTATTTAAAATAACAGGTTATTCGTAACAGTAACTACAAATGTATTTCAAATAAAAAATTATGTGTTATGCGCTAATACGAAAACGCGTTTCAAATAACTTATTATTTGTGATTTAAATGTAGTATTTTCAGATTTAGGTTCATAGTTAAACTCTAAATTTTACAATCTCATAACAAGTAACGTAACAATAGACTTTTTATAATATTATATTTGTTGTATACCTTAATAAGAGGACGCCTAATATTTGTAATATTAGGTTTTAAATCGAAATAAGTTTCAAAATGATATACCTATGTCCTATTTATTTAGTCTGAAAAAAAAATGAATTACCAATGATGAGACTTTTTAGTCACTATCAAACTAATCAAACTAAAATTGAGAATTCAAATTCAGCGAAAAATTGCTATATTGAATTATTTAATAAATTATGACCACAGAGAGTGGATTTCGGTTTAATAAATAACCCTAAGTGGATTATTTTATATTCGTACAACAAATTTGTCTTTACGGGCTTCCCGTATAGTTTGTCTATTAATTATTAAACGGAAGACTTTTACCTCGACTACTTGATCTACCAAAATAGAGGATGAGTGGTGTTCAAAGAGTATTGGAAAATTAGGGATAAAAAATATGCACGAATATTTTCATCTATATTTTATTTTATTCTTTCGTCTTGACTAGCATGTCGTTGATAATAATGTGTCAAATCTTTTGACGGGGCGTCAAAACAGAGTGAAATCAAAATTTAACACACCTGGCTAAGTAGGTTGAACTTGGTTTTCATTAAAACGTACAGTAGTTCCCTTCGGCAGTTTGACGCATAAGTAAATGCTACACAATATTATGACGACGTTACCGAACATTGCTTTATCTGAAAATTCGGCACACCGATAACGCAACACAGCATACAGCTGCGATAATAATAATATTATTAATACCGTGTCTATTTTAAATCCAAGACAATTGACAAATGACAACAATTCGTTGCCCGACAGCGCATAATCAAGCCGTCGCGTGACCTACTTGATGACAATTCCTTTGATGTAGTGACGGAATCTAGGTCATTTTTGTTATCATCCGCTCCTCCGAAAAAGCGCCTATTTAATACCGTTATGGTAATTTCTATCGAGACATTGACCTTTTGAGCGCGAACTTTACGATTACATTACGTTAACGCGTTATCCGTCCGACTTGGTATTTTCACCTTTTCAACAAAGGATGCGAGCATAGGAATTTATATCTACTAAACACATTAATTGCATGCGCGGTGAAAAAAATAGGGTGAACTCATAATTATGGAACTACCAAAAATGTCGGTGAACTATCGCAATAACGCCATTACCGGTTAACCGTGTGCACGTTAAAAACAATACGGTAACGATATGGTACTAACTACTACTAATTGACACTCACTATAATTGTTACTCACTAGTCACTACACACGTCATGTAGATGTTAGTTTAAGATTTTAGCTTCGGCGAGAAGCTGAAAAGATTTTAGTATAACGCTATGTATTTTTTATGGCGGGAAGTGATTTATTACACGTTGTACATTATTTATGGGTTAAGTTCAGGAAATTTTCTCAGAAACATTTAACAATAAATAATATAACATTTAATGATTTTATTTTGTGCTTAAATTTGTATCAGTCTATTAACAATATACTAATATCTAGTCATAATTTTACATATTTTACTACATCTTGTTTGAGTGTTGAGATGAAGAGTTTCTTTGAAAAGGAAAAAACTTGTCATCATATTTTATTGTTTTTAGCTAAACTGTAATAGTTGTAATAACAAAACAAATATTTTCGTGAGACCTAGCAAAAGCTGTGCTTATTTTTTGAGGGGGGGGGGGGTCTTTAAAATATGTTTTGTACAATTCTTTATGACTTTGTAAAGACAATCTTTATGTTGAAAATAATTTTGTATTATCTTCGTTGTGCATTGACTTAAATATATTTGTTATACACAAGTTGATTTCATTTTTTTTAAGCAATATATTTATTATTAATTTTTTGAAATGTATCGAACGTAATAATATTGTAAGCTTAACAATATTTTTTGAACGGATATATTGGTTGGGTAAAGCAATATGGTACTGCTAATACCATGTGGTCGTGCATGTATCATTATATAGATATAAAACTTAAGGCTAGCTTATATGTGTATTGTTTCCAGTTACTGCTCAAGACAAAAGTGATTTACTTGAACAATTTCGGATTCGCCAGATTGTTCACGTGCTGTTAATAGAATATAATACATCGAAAAATAGCAATTTAGGAGAATGCCTTCTTTAGAGTAGAACATTGAGATTTTTCCCTTAACACAACGGTTTGTGTTAAGGAGAAAAGTGTTTGTTTTACTCTAGACCACAAGAATGACATACTAAATCACCTACTAAAGTCATCATACTATTTCCTATGAACTTAATACAATTAATAACTGTATAAAAATTTAAAAAATGAATGATTCATATTTATGTAACTCATAATAAAGTTTGTGTAAAATATCTTGGTTTTCCTCGAAGTAATTAAAAAAGAATAGGTCTAACCGCTTTTATCTTTAATGCCATGCCTATAAATTACATTCTAAATTTAAAATATTATAAAATTATAGTATTTAATAATGTACTTATTTTACTACGGTGGCCTCAGCGTGATATCTTCCATCCGTTATCGCATTATTTTCCATTGTTTTAAGCTTTTGTTTGTCCAGAAGTGCATTTCTTGAAGGAAAACATCACAACTAAGGGTTAACTGTTTTTTTTAAATTCCTAAATTAATAATAATGAACATCATTATTGTTATTGCAGTTAACGCTTTTGCACTAAAAAAGTTTCATCCATAAATACAAAATATTGACTACGTATCTAAAAAATGAATGTACATGTAATAATTACCTACTCACTTATTCTACCAGTGTAGTATCTAAACCTTAAATCCAAAAACAGCGAACGAAAAAATAATAAAGATCGTTTTACAATAATACGACCCAAATAACTGTAGTAAATGTTCATAAATCGAACATTAGTTTCAAAAGTGACACAAGACATAATTTAAAGTATGGTTTTCCTTAAAGGATTGTTTACCTAATTCTTACCATGATAACTAAAAAAATAATTTTTTTTTACTTTTAAAAATTGAAACATATGTGCAATATATAGTAATATTTTATTTCGACAAGTACGCCCTCTAGTTCCTGATTGGTTCTAAATAATTTAAAAGAAATCCCTGCTTTGTCCTTCAACTATAATAATACGTGTATCAAGTCATCGTTGTTTATTTTTCATTTGATTAATAATGGGAATTTTATAGACTTTAGTTCATCATTATGTAG